ACATAGTTTAGGAATCTCTCGCTTCAATTTGGTTAGGGTGTTGTAACTGCCCTTCACACACTCAAGATGCATAGAGTGGGAAGTGCATCAAAAAGTCGTTAACTCAGTTACACGACCAAACAACAACAACAGCAACAACAGACTTTAATGAGTAACACCACTTTGCAACTCCATTATCTTCACGAAATCACGTTTTCCAAACCAACAAGCTCAGAATAGTTCATTTCCGCGGCAAAAATCAGTCTTGAGTAACGAAGCGTGGTGACTACCACCTATTCTTATTTCGCTTCTTCTTCTTCTTTGGTTTCGGCCGCCATATTGGTTTCTTAGGAGCAGGAGGCAAATTAGCAGCAGATCTCTTGCCATTTTTGTCTTTGTATGCCTGCCTACGAGCGAAAAAAATAACATTAGAATCATTTATGACCTAATGGTGTTCTCTCAATAAGACAAAGCATCAAGGGCGCATTGGATGAAATCAACCGTCAACCAAGACGATTGTGAAAGTGTTTTAGTTAGTGTGCAATAGTAGTCTGTAGCCAGAGCCTGTATTCCCCTTGACAGGTGGCCGGGAAACGTGAAGTCCTTTGCGTTTCCCGGCCGCTGGTTAAGGTGGGTGCAGGCTCTTGATGGGAGATTGGTACAATTGCTGTGTTATAGTTGTTTGGGTTTCTTTAGTAAATGAAAGGTTTAAACTCCACAACCTTTGATTCACAAAAGCGCGGAGGAGAGTGTCCAGGTGGTTCCAAATTGATTCAGTTAACACATTTCCCGTAACCCTGAGAACTTTAAGTCACTGAGAGAAGACGTTGATCCTGTATTAAGATACACCTGCTATATATCAAGTCGCCTTCGTGCTTATTCTAGTTACGAGTGACCAGCGACTTCGCGGGGGAGGGGCCGGTAGGGAATCAGTGTGGGATGAACGCAACGACCTAGACGCCCATCGTTACAGACAAAGCTTTTAATCGTCACAACTCACCATCGTCGTTGAATGAAGTTCACTGCACATGAAGCCAACAGATAGAAGGCAAGGAGAAGAAAATTCAGAACCAAATCGATAGACATCACGTAGAAGACATCTTGCCAAGTCATGGCAATAACGAGATCCTGAACGTGTTTCACGTTCCCTGTTGGACAAAAATTTCAGATAAAAAATAAATACATTTGGAATAGAGAAGCTACTGATAATGTGGATAAATGATTCATGAAGGTGGTTTTGTTTAAATGAAAAGACGGAAACAAAACCAAACACCGACATATTGTCGTAAGTAAGAAGTGAATGAGATTAATCTGAGAAATAGAGAAGAAAATTTCTTTCTTGCAAATGAAACCAGTTTGTCGCCGCAAAACAGATTTTTTTTTCTTTATGAGTCTGACTGCTATTTCAATTGTGATTTAAGCAAATCGATATACGATAAGTTAGATTAATTAATGAAATGATTTAACCCATCTTTCCTGGAGTATTGTCTTGCCACCATCATTGAAATAAACGACAGTCATAATGTTATCACAATATCTTCAAACTACACACTAGATTGGTCCTTCACTTACTATCCATATATTCGCCATAAAACCCAGCAGCAACATCAGTTACGTAGTTGAACTCAACAGTAAAAGGTTTTCCAGCCCATGTAACTCCATCCCAGATATAGCCGTTCATCCAAGTAATTTCATTCGAGGTCAACTCGGTCAACCACTTAAGCTCATCCCAGATCCACTTGGCGAGCCATGAGAGTTTATCACAGATCCAATCGGCCATCCATGTAACTCCATTCCAGATCCTAGCAGTCATTGTAATAGTAATGCTATGAAATTTGCTCCATGCCTGTGTTGCCATTGCCACTATAGAGTCCCGTGCATGTGATGTTGTTGCAACTGTGAAGTCCCATACTCGGGTCATGGGACCAAGGGAT